TTATTCTGATTTTGTTTCAAAATATATAGTATTTTAGCAAAGCACCACATAACTTTTCTTGTTACAATTATTTTGTGAAACGTTAAGGAGTCCACTACATCTGCAGCCCTTGTGATATTATGCTTTTTTCCTTTTTTTATTTCACTATATGTGCTTCATTAAATATTTTGCTTCTAATTTAAGCTTCTTTTAGTTGATTTTTCTATTTCGGATGTACTTTAAAATACCACGTTTAGCTTAATTTAAGTTTATTCGTTGGGGAATCTATCATACAGCAATGAATACGTGAACTGATTATGTTTAAATAAAATGTTTTTGTTCTCGCTGCTTACATTAAGGTAACCTGTACAGCAGGAACAATATTTTTTGTTGACACCCCGGGTTTCACTACGAACCTGGCTTCATTTGATCAGACAATTCACATCAGAATTATAGTGGGCAACATATAACATCATAAGTTTGTTTGACGTGATTGGACGCCCCTCTTCACTCACAGTTAAGTCCATTTCAACCTCCTTTATTACGACCAACTGTTTTTAAAATAACATAAAAATAAATACGGTGACTGAGCTTATTAACTCCTTCAGGTATAACTGTTATAAAATTGATTTTTCTTTTTTAGCAAAATTGATTCGAGTAAGCAATAAGCCAAAGGCTCAGCTAGTCAATTTATGCAACCATTTATATTCTATTTAACAGTTGGTCATACTAAAAGATACCACAATTTATGTTATTATTAATTCTCGAAACGAATCTTATAATGAATACGATATAATTAAGGTAACCCCGAACACACACTCACGCACGCAGGCAGGCAGATACACACACACACACACACACACATACACACACACACACACACACACACACACCTATTTCAATAAATGGTGCATACAGAACTAGTACCGATACAGGTGTACAGTAAGAAAACAAACCTTCATAACAGAAGTCATCCCTCTGTCTAAGCATACATGTATGGTGGTAAGTTGATAGAAATTGATCTACAACTGTAAATAAAACCGCGAACGCGTTGAGTTTGTCAAAATGACAAAAGCGCCGTTTTAAACAATAATTTACAATACCAGAAGATTTTATGTCTTCTGTTCCAACGTTTTATTTTTCAATCTCCTTGCATTCACGCAACGCACTACTTGTACATTGTAATAAAAAGTTATGGTAAAAAAATTCAACACCCACATAACATGATAAACATGTAAATGGCAGAGAGACAGACAAGACAGAAGGATGTCTGCAGGTAATGAAACACAAGTTCTAATGTGACGAGCATTCACTAAATCCATCAAGATGGGTGTTGATACCAATGCTCATTTCTGTACAAAGTGTACGGAGAGCAATTAAAATCTTTGAAATCTTGATGGTTTCTGTGTAATCCCTAAAGGAACCATTGTATCAAATTGTATTTCTGTAGAAAATGTGTAAAAGTTATTGCATGTTAATTTGCTGAAATTCATAGGACACGTCTAGTTTGTTCCTTTTGTATGTGTGTGTACAGAAACTGCATAGTTATGTACCCTAACTTCATGTATATATTGCTAAAGGCGAGTCAGAAAAATACATCGTCAATCCATTTCTACCAGGGAAACCATGTGTCCGGTCTTGTGTAGTTCACGGTAAAAAGTCTTATCACGCAATTTTTCCAAACATGCAGATACTGCCATCGAGCTGGACGAGTAGAACACGTGAAAGTCGGTGACCAAGTAGGGGCCGGTCTGGAACGCACAGAGTTCCTGACCAAAGTCTGCCCCTTGACACACGTCCAGCTTGACCCTGGAGACGCCCTGTTTTTCCACTGCAATCTGCTTCATCGAAGTGACCAGAATCACAGCCAGAACCGCCGTTGGGCTTACCTTGTCTGCTATAACCGTGCATCCAATGACCCAGTGTATAAACATCACTATCCCAACTACACGCCCCTGATTAAGGTGGGCATAATACATTCCAATATTATCATAGTTACGTTCATTAATCTTCTATTTTTATCATTTTTATATTTGTTTGTTACATTTGTATAATACACCACATTTCAAATGGAACTTTGCCGAATAGACCCTTGACGTCCATTTAACTATCAACTCTTTAACATTCATGTGACCTTTATATTGTTTTGTTTAATGCATTACCTTTATGGACTTCTTTTTAGCTGACAATTACGGAAGTTATTATTAGGCTCAGCTTGTGTATTTATGCAATCATTTATATGTATATTGTATAAAACACTTTATCATAATAAAAAATGCCACAATTTCCCCGACGAAGGAAATAAGTAAAAGGCTCAACTAGTGTATTTATGCAATCATTTACATGTTTAATGTATATAAATGTTCCAAACACTAATAAAAATGCCACGATGTATGTTATAATTAAATCTTGTAACGAATCTTTTAATGTATACTATTAAGATAAGAACACACACACACACACACACACGTTTCTATAAACCTAGAATCGATACAGGTGCATTCTTTTTATTAAAGCTTCTGATAAGATGTAAAATGAAAGTACGCGTCTCGATAGCCAGGTCCTAAAGTTCTTTATAAATGCCAACCCGATCGAGACTGTGAAAGAATACACTTACCTTGGTATCACCTTTGCTAACACTGGGTCAATGAAAAAAGCAATAGTAAATCTAAAATTAAAAGCAATGAAAGCAATGTTCTCATTAAAAGGTGCACTTTCGTCACAAAACTTATCCTCACCTCTCCTATATTTAAAACTGTTTGACAAAGTGGTAAGGCCAATACTCCTCTATGGCTGTGAAGTTTGGGCCCAAGAAATATTCAAAGAAAAGAAAATGACCCTGAACAAAATTAACCAAATGCCTTTTGAGCAAGCACATTTGAGAATGTGCAAATGGGCACTGGGTTTGAGTAAACACGCCAGCAACAATGCCAGTCGCGCAGAGCTCGGTCGTTATCCTTTATATTCTAACATTGTTAAGCAGGTACAACGATACTGCCAAAGATTTGGAAATCTACCAAATAACAGAATAGTTAAACTCACCCATGATGCAGAACTGACAATAGGGGAAAAAGGTTGGTCAGGAGCGATTAATACTATGTTAACAACTTGGAATCTTCACAGTGAAAATGTCCCAGGGGTTCAGCAAATCCAAACACATTGCAATATTGAGGAAAAAATCAATGCTAAAATTGAAAAAATGTTCTGGGAAGAGTTAACTGATCCTCAAAGCACCAAGTTAAAAACTTATAGTCTGATAAAAAAGTCCTACAAAATTGAAAAGTACCTGCTAACTAATGCCCCTCAGTCATTAAAAAGGGAAGTGGCTAAAATTAGAGTCAGTGATCATATTCTGGAAATGGAAAGAGGACGCTACACCAGACCTAAAACACCACGCGAGGAACGATTCTGTCCCCACTGTCCTGCAATCGAGGACGAAGTGCACTTCCTACTAGAATGTAGACACCATGTAAAAGAGAGGGAGGGCATGTTAAAACAATTCCCTAAATGTGACATGCATCACCTAGCAAGCAGTGACGAGAAGGTTAAAATCATACTAAGCCCAGAAAATGAGAAAGAATTGTACGCTGTTGGTAAATACATTCAGAGGGCAATTTCCAAAAGAAATGAGCATCTGCCACACTGAAGTAGCCTCATCCTGCTATATATTATATGAACCATAAGTATGGCACATTAGATACGTACAGCTATACGCCAATCAAAGAAAATGTGTGTTCCCTCAGTGTATTGAACTATTTACAATTGTAATAAGTATTTTAAACAACGTATACACTGTAATTAATAATCTTAAACACTGTATTAGTAGTAATCCGTAGTGATGTATAACTATTTATTTATTTATATATTTGTAGTATAGAGGGCTAACAAATGTAACTGTCACATTTAATGCTCGAATAAATTATTATTATTATTATAAAGTACACTGTATGTCTATGCACAAGCCTGGTGGCTGATCAAAATTAGCCTCAACTTTAAACATAACCGCAAATGTGTTGTTAAGTTTGTCAAACTGACAAATGCATCGTTTTTACACAATTATGTACAATGCCAGCAGATCAAATTTTCTGTTCTGACATTTTATTTTTCAATCTTGTATTCACGCAACACACTACTTCTACATTATGATGGCAGCGATGTTAGGAAACTGAGGGCCCGTGATAAACACGATAAACAAATAAATGCCAATTGAAATTATGTTGTAAACAACATGATAAAAACACTACCACAACAGCAAGATCTCCATTTGTACATTTCAACTATGTCAGTTGAAATGTAGTCAAGTCATTTAATACAAGGAACGGTGGTTAACTTGCACACAGTTGCTTGCAGTGGTGCACGAGTGAAAGGATGGGAGATTCTGTAAGGACGACTGACGGGACAGGTAAATTGTGTTTTTAAGTGATAATGATCTGTCAATATAAAGATTCGAGATATTTTTTTTAGTCTCACCCATATGAAAAGAAATGTAAAATTTAGTAGGGGCAGTAAAATATGGCAGTTTTTTTATAGAACTACGAGAGATTGAATATCACTTAAGATATACGTTAAAGCATTATTTATACATAAAATCGTTAATTCTAAAAATCGGCAGCAGGTTTAGCAACTAAAGAAATCGTGTCATTATTACTAGTCACAAATAAAAACTTGTTCTGATCAAAATTGTTGTTAAAACGTCTAGCAATATTAAAAGTTCAACGCGTTCATCAATAAAAAAGGATAGTTAACTAAGAAGTGGACCTCGTCCTCAATACACTTAGATTCACATATAATGGGCAGGTTCTTTCCGCAATAGCTAATTTTTCATATCGAATTTCTATTTGAAATGGGGTCACCACACGCCTCACCTTAGCAGGTGCCCTTCGTTTTTTATATATGCGTATATTAATATATTACGTTATGACTGACGTGTATGTAAACCAGTATAGGTTGCCTAGGTACAATTGTCGGCAACTGTATGCAGACTGCTTTTTTAATCTATCATCATAGGCGCGTGTCTTTGTTAGCGAGAGAGAAAAAAGGGAGACTGTAGTGTCGCGTGTGTCTTTGGATGAACAGAATGGCCTATTTATTGTGATGGTGTCGTGAGGATAAGTCCACTATCCATTGTGATTTCCATGTATGATGTTGTGTTAGTAAATGTGTATCACTGAAAGGTATGTATTTCAAATTTTAGGCTTCCAATATACAGATAACTTTGCCGTTACTGACAAAATGAAAGAGCAGTTTTACAGGGATGGTTTCATTATATTGCGGTAAGCCATAAACAGTTTCAAAACTTTGCCCCCCTTTTTCCAAGATTAACAAGTGTTCCTCCGTAAATATAAAAGGAATCAATATCCAATATTGTCTAATTAAATTCGATTAATTAACACCTACATGAAAGGAGTTATTATAAGATAAGCACAGAATGTGATCTTATATCCGGCAATGTGAAGTTTGATAAAACTCAAAAATAGCAGAAATATGCATCGACCGATGACGAAATCGCCGAGATTTTTTAGCCAGTCACGGAAAAAAAGACACATTTGTGTCTGATCTTGGAAGACATTGACATTCAGGCATCACTTCAACCTTTTTTCCAACCCTCTAATGTCTTTGCGTTTAGGAAGTTTTTGGACACAGAAGAGGTGACTAACTTGAGAAAGGCCCTGGAGCAAGACAAGACCCTGGAGGACAATTACTATACCAGGGACGATGGGGATGGATATCAGGCCAAAACGGCCAACTGGAATCACCCTGTGGATGACATAACCGGGATGATAGGGAGGAGTGAGAAAGCTGTCGGTACCATGGAAAAGGTAGCTACAGTACATGTAGGCCTCATAGCCCTTGTGTAATGTAATTTGACTTCACAAATTGTTTTAATTCATGCGAGCACTTATTATTTACACTTTTGTAAAAAAAAATATTTAGACTGGCTTCAGCGTTCAGTTAGGATACTGATTATAGGCCTATATACATCTCTGTGGGAATATGTCGAGTATTTTCAACCTATAAATTAAAGTTTTGTCCCTACAGTAAGCAAACGAGTAAAATATAATTTTCCAATCCTTAATTCTAGCTTTTAGGGGGAGAGGTATATCAATATCACGCCAAAGTCATCATGAAAGAACCATTCACAGGTGGTGCGTTTGTATGGCACCAGGATTACGGGTAAATTTCACAGGACAGCTCTTTTTACATTATTTTCACATGCTCACTGCATGCGCTATCGTTCAATTTATGATTCAATTAGTTGTAAAAGTGAAGAGTGTGCAGCCCGTTTAGAAAAACAAAGTCTGCAAAAGACATTTTATATACTGCAACACTTGCATTCACATTACCATAACAAAGAGGAGGAGAGCCTGTGTGACAGGAATGCTAGTTCTACATATAGGAACCGAAGTCCAGGGCCATATTATGATTATTACACGTTAGGGTTAGTCGGTGTACTGGGCCCCTGCGAAGATTTGTCTAATTTAACGCCCACTTGCGGTTCTAAATCTGTCCTAGAACCTAATGTTTTTCTCTTTTAATGAAAAATGTTCCTTATCTGTTCTAGGACATTCTGAAGGACTTCCCAAAAACAGTTTTCGAACTGTTACATTCATTACTGAACAACAATAGAACTGTAAAAAATACACCAAATATTCTAGAATAGATTGAGAACAGTAAGTGTAAATGAGACAAATTTTTGCAAGGGGGGGGGCGTATAGGGGCGAATATGTCACCTGTACAAAGTAATGTTCCTAGCGGACTACCATTCCTTACAAAGGCGCCGTTTGTACACAATGATGTACAATACCAGCACATGTTTCCTCTCCCAACATTTTATATTTCAATAGCCTTGTATTCACGCAACGCACCACTTTACAACATGATAGCATACTATGGAACTGAGGGCACGTGTAACAAGATAAACAAATAAATGACAGCTGAAAACTTATTGTAAACAACATGTCTCAAGGGTGGTTTTCACGTTACCAAAAAAAAAAAAAAAAAGAAAAAAAAAGGTGAGACCGCGAATTAGTTCTTTCTGGTCATGCATAGCGCCACAGTATATAACCAAGCTGCTGAGTTGGTGAACAGTGCCATTTTTGTAAATATCATGTCAAAACAAAATTTAGAAAATGCATTTGGTCTTCTGTGCGCTTTTAATCAAAATGTCAAGAGTAAATTCTCATATTTTCTTTATACTGCTGGTTATTTACTGCATTTGTGATTACTGCTATTTTCAAGTTATTGGTACGTTTACGGCAATCTGTTTCCGGACATGGCCACAGTGTGGATTGCTGTGGACAGAGCCGATAAGACAAATGGATGTCTGCAGGTAATGAAGCTTGTCTTGTGAATAGACATCTTTAACTTTCACAGAATCCATTGAGGTGAGTGTTGATGTCAATGTTCATATCTGTACAAAGTGTACAAAGAATGGTTTAAAAGCATGAATTAATGATGATGTCTCTTCAGTCCGTAAAGGAACCATTGGTTACTCTTTCTTAAGTAAAAATATGTAGAACACATATGTGACAATCATATTGCATATTCATTTGCCGTATATATTTAGGCGACTTATCACCGCAATTTTTCCATGCATGCAGATATTGCCAGGTTCTCATCGAGCTGGTCGAATAGAGCACGTGAAAGTTGGTGACCAAGCAGGGGCTGAACCGGAACGCGTAGAGTTCCTGGCCAAAGTTTGTCCCTTGACCTACGTCCAGCTTGACCCTGGAGACGCTGTGATATTTCACTGTAATCTGGTCCATCGAAGTGACCAGAATCACAGCCAGAACCGGCGCTGGGCTTACCTTGTTTGCTATAACCGTGCATCCAATGACCCAGTGTATAAACATCACTATCCAAACTACACGCCCCTGATTAAGGTAGGCATAATACAGTCAAATATAAGACATAGTTTTATTTTTGCTTCTATTTTAATTCATGTTTATATTTGTTTGTTAACTTTGTATAATACACCGCATTTCAAGATGAACATAGCTGAATAGACAACGGGTCCACTACAAAATATTAGCAGTTGATGTGCCATTTTATTCCATAATAACATATTGATATTTCTTACATCAAGGTACAGAATAGCAGAATTAAGGAATGTGGCACTAGAGAACCCACCGAAGGAAAACTATTTTTTCAAGGACCGAAAAGAGAGCGTGACCCTGCTATAGAAGTGCTAGAGAGGAAGGCTTAAACTACAGTATAATTTAAGACGTTATTCAGACATCGATTAATTATGAGACGCAAGGTTTCCACACTGTAAAAACAGTGTTTAGCATTTAAATACATACAACACACGTTAGGCACCTATACGCATTTAGAAATATGTGTAAAAGCTAAGCACGTATAGCTTTTCAAGCGTTTCACAGAAGTAAAAGCTAGACACGTTGGCAGTGTTACACGTTTAGCTATGTGTTTAGCTTCACCGGCATATGATTCTCTAACAAGTCTATCACAAGCTAAGCACATTGGCTAAGCACTTCCCCTGCTAAGCGCGTGAGGCTGCTAAACATATGGAGCTGCTATAGGTGTGGAATTCCTAAACGCGTGGAGCTGCTGAACAACACGTTTAGCTTATCAAGCTTGTCACAGAAAAAAAATTCTTCACAATCCCATGTATACGATCCCAAAACAAGTTTATTACAAGACTCAACAATTTGGCTTAACACTTCCCCTTGTAAACGTATGGAGCTGTTGGAGGCGAGGAGCAGCCTGATCGAACGCGTTGTGTCCTTCCTTGCAGTAACGTGTGATTATTTAAAATAGGCTTATTAAGTAATAATCCAAGTAACAAGTTCACGACGTTATCAGCTGTTTACATGATGGTGATGGTATAGAATAACGTTATGGTAACGTTATGGGTGTTTTTAACTCCATCCAAAATGATGCCCCTGCGGTTTTATAAGCGTTTTATAACATTCTGGAAAACATTATTTAATGTTTTGAAAAAATTTTTTATGAATAAACAAAACACGTCTTATGCTGTACTAAGATCTTTTATATCCTTTTATTAGATCTTAGTGCTGTATTAACTACAGTTAGCGGTTTATTCCAAATTGGGCTTGGGTTAGTAGGCGACTAGAGCGGTGCGATTTGTTAAATATTCGGACTATAGTTACCAAAATAACCAGCATGCGATGAAAGCTTATATAAACCATTATAATGAATACCCCACCATCATCCTGATGTTCTATTGTCCATTACTTCCGGAAAAAATAAATGGACATCCATAACGTAACGCATTTTTTCAAAATATGACAAAAAATGTTTTAAAGTAAAAGTGATAGCTGTTTCGTGTTTTTAGTAAACTAGTGAATTTTCCTAACTTGATTTGCAGAAATATATTCCAATAAACTTCCTCGCAAGGTCAGCTAACACAAGGATGAATAAGTCCCGCTGCAAAGGTGACGGCGTTAAGTCAACAATGTTGACAGTTCACGGAGCCCTGTTATAAATAGAGATAACTATAGCAGTTACGGTTGACCGTGACTTCGTGTGTGTGTGTGTTTGTGTGTGTACGAGCGCTCGTGTGTGACTAAAACAGTTGAAACCCCTACCATCTAAAAGTTAAGCAAATGCACCCTACAATTAAAAGGCGTCAGACGCGTCAAAACGTGTAACATGTTAAGGATCTTAACGTGCTTAGGAGCTAAACACGTCGAAAAAATGAGACAAAACAGGCGCTTAGAAATGTGTTTAAGTGCTAAACACTGTTTTTACAGTGCATATGTACTAAATTAAATGGTTTTCATTCTATTAACGTTATGATGGAAAATACTTTTTTGTTTTGAATCTTTTTTATCACATATCAGTAATATATCTGACGGTTAAGATCAGAAAGATAACCTCAAATAATAATTTTCTCATGACGGTCTGAGAGCGTGGTACCAACATTTTACAGAGGATTATACATACACTGTGATACACAGTGATACACTGTGATACACGTAACTACTTTTGTAAAATCCATAATTATTTTGTTAGAAGTAAACCTGATATGCCCGTGAGTAACACCCCTTCCTCGTCCAAACCTGGAACTCTGAACCTCTGGTAAATGTTTTGATCTACCTGTAAGGGCTTGTGCAACATAGTTGGGAGAAAAAAAACTCCTGGACGTTTATCACTAACCAGCGGATAAATTCTCCAAATACTGGTTAACTAAACGGCGTTTAAAATTGTGTTTTATAAACAGCATTTAAACAGCGGGTTAATAAACGGACGTTTAATTTTTTTAAATCAGTGTTTAGTTGCTATGAACAACTTATCCAGACCATATTTGGAAATAAAATTTCCCAGAATGCAATGGGCTTATATAAAACAAAATAAAATACCCATAATTAATCCAGTGTTCATTTGTTTTGTCTGCTATTCTTTAATGTACTTTGGTAATGTCAACAATACCTGAGAAAACAAAGAGATGATTTAGATTGATTTAGATGATTTAGATTGCCAAAGTATGTTTATGTACTTATTTTCAAAATAAATAAATAAATAAATGAAAAATAAATAAATAAATAAATAATAATAAATAAATAAATTAATTAATTAATAAAATCATAAAAATATTCAAAGAATGATTCCTTTCCGTCTCTGGAGCTAGTTGGTTTTGAAGTAAGTTTTCTAAATACAGTATCGAATTTCTACTGAATCTAAATCTTTCAATGAGTTCTTGCTCAGTTGCTCCATCAAAATCAAATAAATCTCTACTGAAATTTCTGTCTCTTCTCAGTCTAAAAGGTATATATCTGCGAGGATTTCTGGCAAACCGCAGCAGGTTTGCCATTTTTATCCTTCGAGCGTATAAATTTAACCAACCGTTAAGAAGATTTAACCATTGGCTAGTGCTAAACGACGTTTATGAAACCCGGTTAAACGTCATTTAAGTTAAACGATGGATTTAACCGGTGGTTAGTGCTAAACGTCCTTTATAAAACCGGGCCCTGATAAAAAACAGCAATGATCATGGATCTACTTGCAAAACAGTCATTGCTTTATTTCATATAGTAAACTTCTACACACATCATATACCTGTACGAAGCCACTGATATCAAGGGCTTCTAAAATAGCATACAAAATTAAAGTGTCAGCAATACAATACTTTTGTATCAGACTACTAGCGCACTCTGTGGGCAGAGATTAACATGTAAGATGTCCGATTGAAATATACATGTACGTGTATATTCTGATTTTCTTTGAAAATGTATTGTATTTTACCAAAGCACCACATAACTTTTCTTGTTATAATTATTTAATGAAACGTTAAGGAATGCACTATATCTGCAGCCCTTGTGATATTTTGCTCTTTTCTTTTTTATTTTTCTCTGAGTCCTTTTTTTGTTTCATTATACTTGCTTCATTAAATATTTCGCTTCTAATTTAAGCTTCATTTGTTTGATTTTCTATTGCTTATGCACTTTAAAATGCCAAGTTGAGTTTATTATAAGTTTATTCCTCGGAGAATTTATTATAAAGCAATGAGCACGTGAACTGGTTATGTTTCAAGAAAATGTTTTTGTTCTCGATGCTTTCACGAGGGCAACCTGTACAGCAGGTACCTTTGTAGAACCTTCTCTGTTGACGCCGGGTTTCGCTAATGACCTGACTTCATTAGATTAGACAATTTACACCAGAGTTATAGTGGGGAACAAATAACCACATAAGTTTGTTTGACATAATTGGACCCTCCTCTTCACTCATAGTTAAGTCAATTGCGACATCCTTTATCGCGACAAACTGTTTTTGAAATAACATTAAAGTAAATACGTTATCTGAGCTTTCCGCTTATTAACCCCTTCAGGTATTGCTGTTATGAAATTGAATTTTCTTTATAGCACAATTGATTCAATCCCCATAGAAAGCAATAAGCCAAAGTCTCAGCTAGTGCATTTATGCAACCATTTAGATTTTATTAAACCGTTGATCATAATAAACGATGCCAAATTTATGTTATAATTAATTCTCGTAACGAATTTTTTAATGAATACGATGTAATTAAGATGATCATGAACACACACACACACACACACACAGGGACGCAGGCAGGTTGGCACGCACGCACACACATACACGCCTATTTCAATAACCGGTACATACAAAACTATTATCGATACAGGTGAACAGTGTATATATAATTTCTGATAAAATGGAAAAGGAAAACACACCTTCATAACACAAGTCTTACCAAGTCTTACCTCTGTCTAAGCATATGGCGGTAAGTTGATACAAATTATTCTACAACTGTACATAAAAACCGCAAACGAGTTACTGAGTTTGTCAAACTGACAAAAGCACCGTATTTAAACGGTGCTTTTGTCAGAAGATTTTATGTCTTCTGTTCATTTTGTTCATTTTATTTTTCAAGCTTCTTGTATTTACGCAGCGGGCTACTTGTACATTATGATAGCAAAGATGTTAAAAAAATCAGAACCCGTGTAACATGATACACAAGTAAATGGCATAATATTATTACACCTGATCCAGGCTAGCGCGTGATGATAAAAAAAAAGCGTTGTTGTAACAGACCTCCAACTGTAACCTTCACCTAGGTCAGTGTGTCAGCCAAATCATGTACAACAAGGAAAGGCGATAAACTGACAGGCAGTTGGTTGTTGTGGTACGTGAGTGAAAGAATGGGAGAATTCGTGCGAACGACTGACGGTACAGGTAAATTGTGTTTTATAGAGATAATCTGTCAGTATATAGAGCACCTTAAGTAACTGCAAAGCCGGTTGTAGGTCGTGGGTCGTGTCTGCCGCGCTTTTAATCCTCTGATTGTTGTTTGCTCTGGTCTGCGGTCGTTCACCTAACCCAGGTACAGATGTCCAAAACTGTACGCTCATATATTAGGTGAGTTATATATTAAGTGTGTGTGTGTGTGTGTTTGTGAGTGTGTGTTTGTGAGTGTTTGCCTATGTGAGAGAGAGAGAGAGGGGAAAGAGAGTGGCTCGTTTGAATGTGTGAGGTCGTGTTATGAAGATAAGTCAACAACATTTGATTATATTCATTATTTTGTGTTCACTAGTATCTCATCAAAAGGCATGTGTTCTAAATTTTAGGCTACCAGTATACAGATAACTTTATCGTTACTGACGAAGTGAAAGAGCAGTTTCACAGGGACGGTTTCATTATATTGCGGTAAGGCAATAAATACTTTCAAACCCGTACACTCTTGTTTACAAACTTCACTAGATTTCC